AATTTCTGATGATTAAGAAAAATTCTACAATATTGTTCACATAGTATTGTATATAACCGGAATCTTAAGAATTCTTGAGAGGGATTCCAGGAACATTCCTAGACCTCAGTAAGTATTCAGTATATGTCAGACCTTATATTTTTATGGGGGGGGGCTTTATTTATTTATAATTATGTACCGGAGAAAGAATGTCAAATCTAGAAGCATAGCATCTAAACCTCCAAATGAAAAATAGAGAACACTTCTTGAAGGCTTACCACACATCAGGTACTGTGCTACACAGGCACTGTGCATGCATTCATGATACCTGATTTACATGCCAGTTTCAGAATTTAAGAGATTTGTGATAGAACACATAGCTAATAAGAGTCCAAACTGACTTCTGAACTTACTTTATTCCAAAATTATGCCCTCATGTAACAATAAATACTGGTATTTCCTAAAATGTAAATATAATTTCGTTTATTGTTAAGAAGTATATCTCAGCATCTAGAGACAACCAAGATATGGCAGTCATTACTCATGCAATCAAGTTATTCCTCACATTGGTGCCATTTGCAAAGGATAAAATCACACTGAACTTTGTGAATGATGGGCTTTTATATTTATAATACACTTAAGAGAATCCAGTATTATTGTACAAAGACAAATATTATTGTGTCAGAAACAGCCCTGATGTTATGCTTGGTACTGCTCAGTATTTCAGACTAACTGCTGTGTCTGGCTGCCTCCTTGATGTTTTCAGAACTGATGTCAACTCATTGTTTACTTCCTTTCCAAGGGAGGGGAAACATTTTTACCTAAGACTGAAGTCTGGTTCTGCAGGAGCAAAGAGGCAACTGTCTAGTAGCCTGAGGGTGAATCAACAGCTGCAAGGCCACCCACGCACATGCACACAGCTCTCAGCTGTCTCTCCATTCTGGGCCCCAGTTGGTCCTGACCCCATACAAATGTGGTGTTCTTGCTTTGATGTTTATGAACCAAGTGCATTAAAATGCAGGATAATGATTCAGGGGTTAGAGAAACTGTTATTTATACAAATGTGGTTAACACCTCATCATCTTAAACTGGCTGTGCTAATAACATTCATTGTGTTCTTTGTTTTCTATTCCCCCCCCCCCCAACCCTGCAAATCTGCAACCTACAATTGCTCTGGCAATATGTGGACAGTATACTAGAATAGATTGGGAGACTTAAGAGGGTCCTACAATTAAAAGCAGTTTCTCAGAAAACCTGCTAAATAAGTGAGCACCCAGATATGAGTGCAAATCATGGGAATTCAAAACTAGAATGGTGTCTGGCATCTGTTGCTCTAGCAGTGCTCAATACATCCTTTTCAATACATCATAAATCTAAACTCTTGGAGTATAGTAATAAGATCTTAAGTTTGGTGTGTTAATTATAAAAAACTTCAAACAGTAATGTTAAAAATCAGATGCTAATCCCAGTGACTTGGGAGGCTTGAGGCAGGAGGATAGCAAGTTCAAAGCCAGCTTTAACAACTTATAGAGCCCCTAAGCAACTGCTGAAACCCTGTCTCAAAATAAAATGGGCTGGGGATGTGGATCACTGGTTAAGTGCCCCTGGGTTCAAGGGGGGGTACTGGGGGGGGGGGGGGATCAGATGCTATTTGTTACCAAGAATAGCCTACTTATAAGGACAAACAGTTATCCAGGATACCATTTAATTATAAAGCAATTTGTCTCTTATAAAATAGTCAAAAAAGAAATGAAAAATTCAACCAATGAAATTATATCAGTATTTACCAATATTTATTTGGATAAATATATCCATAAAATTTTACAGAAAAAGTTCAAGATAAATTTATGATTCCAAAATCTACTGTCCTTTTTTATTAGACTAAAATATATACTCTGACTATTCTCTTTATATCTGTAATAGACCTATTAGACACATGGAGCTTTTAAAATTTAAAGTAATTAAGTAAAATTAAAGATTTAGTTCTGCCATATAACTAAATGAAATGGCCACTTGAGCTAGTGATTACCTATTAGTATGGACAAAATATTTCCATCAGCACAGAAGAGTCCTGTTGGACAGCAATGACCTAGCGACTCAAATTATAAGGAATTATGCTGACTTTTCTAGTATATATCCTTGCTTATCTTATTTAGTTGAAAGTAAAAGAACATTAACAGAAATCTATATATTCCTGCTCCAGAGAGGGGAAGGGGTCAAGTGATATTGGACATAATTTTTCTTTAAAAAGTAGGATAAGATAAAAGGTTCACCACTGATCTAGATAAAAAGTCCTAAATTCCAACTTACTAAAATATGTTTAGTAGACTGGATGAAAAATAGTAAAGTGGCTCTCTAACTTAGAAAACACTCTTTAAAAAATTTATAAGTAGTTAAAATATATCTTCCATCTACATAGTTCTGATTAGATTCATTAGAACTTAGCATTTTGTTAAAATACCAGTCACAATTCTAAATATCTTATTCTTCACCTCAAATATCATTCTTCTCCTTAATCTATATAGAGGTCCCCTTGACTAATATATTAAAATAAAATTTCAGAAAAATCTCACCAGGCCTACCTCCGCTGCAGTAGTCAGTAAGATTCATCTACCCTACTGGCTACAATTCAGATTCCTGTTTTCTTGGGGAATGAATAAGAGAGCTTTTTGTAGGCACAAAGTAAGTTTTCTCTCCTATTTCCAAAATTTTTCTCTACTGCCAATTCACCTCAAATAGTCTTCGTCCTCAAGTCTTGACAGCCTCTATATCTATCACACATAAAGTCATACCAATCCTAATACATGAATTTGAGAAAGGAACAGTTTTAGCGCAGTTCTCAACAATGGGTATTCAGTCAATGCTATGTCGAGGACCTTTCAAATTCTATTAAGACCCTTAAGGCAAGAAATAACAGCAACTAAAATTAATTCTCATCTAAGTTAAAAATGCACAATTTGCTGTTTATATACGTATTAAAAGAAAAAAATTATCCAAAAGATGCAAAAGTACCAGCTTATTTATTTGATCTACAATCTTTTCTACAGTAGTATGCATGCTTCTTGAAGAATCCATTTTAAGCACCTTCTTAGATTTTATAATTCCTTTAACTCTTGGGCAACAAAACTCATGCTTTCAGTTTGTTCATGTTTCTGTTCACACTTCAACTTTATACCTTCTCTGCATTTATATTTCAATAGAACATCTTTAGTCATCTATAAACCATAATCCAATGGCTTTATAATAAAGTTCTGTAGTACTCATGCAGCCTGAAGACGAACAGAGATACAGGATTAGTTTAGTTGGTGGCCACTGAATAAAAAGTATATTTATATTTGCATAACACATTGATTAAAAAGCCCTAAGAGGTTTCCCAAACTTATACACCTCTTTCTTCACCCATGTTTTAAAAGACAAAATATTTTAAAGAACTCGGACTTGCCCTCAAGCCTTCCAGAACCTTTTAGTGAGTCATATTAGGCTCCTAGTACTGAAGGTAAGCTTCTGAACTATTCCGTCTAAGAGTTTTAAAGGAATATTTTGGAATCAGTGAAATAATTATTGAGCCATGAAGAATTCTAGGTACCCTGAAAATAAAGTAAGTACTCCAATTTCATGTTCTGAACTTCCACCCTAAAGTGCTAACCTACAATGATTCTAAGTTATTTTCAATCCTAAACAAGTACCACTTTTGATTTTCAAATTTCAATGCTTAGAAACCGTAACCAGTGTAAATATTAACCCCAATCATCTAAATATTCAGACCAGGTAATAATGCCTTTAAATTATTGGCTTCTATTTTGCATAGCTCTTTCTAAATAGAGAAAAGTAATTTCTTTACTATATTACTCTAGTTACCCAAAATAAAATCCTAATATTGTTATGTTTAGATAAATGAAGGAGAGGTAGAATGGGATTACAGTTCTTTCTCTTTCCCTTCTTTACGGAATTCAAAGATAATGTAGAAAGATTAACAGACACAGAATTCTTCATCTAACTGATGCCAGAAGAATTTAAAGATTGTAATACAAAGTAATATGAGTATAGAGCTAGACTATTTAAAACACCCATCTATAGTTCACACTTGGTTTCTAAACATGTCCATCTTTAGATTCATATTTATACAGTGATTTTTGCTTAAATATTTATAGCCAATATGCAGAAATATTAACACACAGAAGACATTTCATCTATATAAATTTTTTTTCATAGCCTTCTAACAAGAAACTTCCCCCCTTACCCAAGCACCTCAATTTTATTTTCAAATTGAAATGAAGAAAATCTGAAAATATTCTTAATACTTCCAATTTGAAAACCTTGTTCGATTTTTCTAAATTAAACAAAGGATTATAAGCATGTATGTTTTAAAGCAATTAGTAAAGAAAAAGCTATTTGGGAGCTCTATGATTTAATAAGACACTAAAGTTTAAAAGTCGAGATAAATTCAAAACTGCATTTTGAGCTTTGCTGTTTTAACCATCAGTGTATACTTTCCTTTATGATAACAAATACCAAGCCATGAGCTAACTTAACTTTAGTCATATAATACTTGTTTGAAAATATAAACATCTCTACTCTTGCACATTGTGATTGGTATAGGATTGTCCTTGAATATATAAATTGATGCAAGTGTGTACAATTGTGGGGAGAGGAAGAAACTATTTTTACTATGGAAAACTGAGGAAAGGGATGGATCCTTTTCAGAAAGGAATAGATAAGATTTATCAAATTCTCTTACAAACTTTAGATCTTGGGCCAAGTTTCACAGAAATGATAATTAATAAAGTTTTACTTTTCTCATTTTAACAACCAGATATGAAAGTCATCCAATGTAATTACCTTCAAGGTGATACGGAGCCAAGTCTCAAATTAGATGCAGTATCTGATGCAGATTACTTGTTTTCTGACTCTTCTCTGACTACTCACAAGTAGTCCATGAAAGAATTTATACTAACTAAATTGTTCAAGGCAAAGAGAGAGAAAAAGGAGAGAGACAGATAGAAAGGAGACACTAAAACATGTCCAATAAGCTTCCTAACAAATTATGTTTAATTATTAAAAAAATACATAAGAATTTCCACCCCATTACTCTCATGCAAAAGTAATCTAACACTTAAAAATGTCTTTATATTATTCAGTATACAAAAGGAGGTAAAAAGTGGCAATCAGGTGTATCTTAAATTGCACATTCCAGCTTATCTAAATACAAACAACACCCCATGTCAGAAATACTATAATTTTAAATACAGCATAGGTTTTTTTTTTCCTCAACAGCTAAACAAAACAAGGTATCACAAATTATTCCCCTGAACTACACAGATGTATGAATTAGAAGGCAGGATTATGAACTTTAAAGCATTAATTTTAATTATGAATTGATAATACATTTCTACAAACACTGGTGATATTAAAACAATATACCAATAGACATGATCAATATGTGTACATGTGTAATGATCCCAGAAAAATGGTGGTCAAATAGAAATAATATTTCTCTTTAACAAATGTTTTGAGGAAAAATGCTTTAAATTATGTGGAGTTGAAAATATAATTTTAACAAAATTTATGTGAAAAGAGGAAACACCAAAGCTGCTAAAATTCTTTGGGACCCCCACCTTCCAAATGCTACCCTTATAATTCCCCAGTTGTCACAGGATAAAGTATTTTTCTAGAAAAAATTAAATTATTGCAAATATTGCTTCCTATAGACTGCTTTATGTGTCAGAGTCACTTGCAGATCCTGGTCTGCTGTTATCTGGCCCATCGCTTTCCTTGTCCCAGTCTTTCATAGACGCACCCATCATGAAATCATCACGCAGAATTGTCCAACCTGGGCCATCTTCTGATTTGATTTCAGTCTAAGGAAAATCACAGAACCAAAATAGTCAGAAATCAATTCAATCATTAATAATTGGTTCTACAATAGAAGTGAAACCAAGATAATTCACAAATTGACTTTAGTTTTACAACACAGTTATATAGGTATATATAAAAATATAACAAACAACTATATATTAATAAAATGGCATATTTTAGTACCCCAAAAAGAAAAATGGAAGCAAAGTAAAATTTTTTGGAGTGGAGACAACAATATTGTCAAATCCAAGTTTGGTATCAATTTTTAAAATCTTTTGAAAACAAAAGCAAACTTATTATTATTTAACCTTCAGTGATAATTTATTTAAAATTCTTGGCAGATTATTTCAATATAAAAAGACATTTAAGAAACACTTTTGCCCAAAATAAAGGTAAAAAAAGTAATCTAATCTCAGTACTATGCTACATTTTTATGATTGCTATTTCACTTAACATTTTATAAAAATTTGAACCAATTATTCTTTATTTAGGAAATAAATGTCACTCCCTGACCCTACCATGCAATGAAAGACGAATCACACCCTACAACTATAAATAACTGAAGTAGGCAATAAACATGTAAGTAGTCATCCATTTTATTTAGTGGTAGAATTTAGTAATACATAAAAGAGCCTAGGAATTACAGGCCTTCATTTCATGGTACAACAGTACCACCTTGTGGTATTAAGTATTACAATATAGGCAGCACTCTAAGCTATAAAATTTTTCATTCTTTTCACAAATATTAAGAACTGTGTTATCTAGCACTGTTCTTCATGTCAGAAATACAGTAATGATCAAAGCAAAATCCCTGTCTTCACAGAGCTAACAGTCTGCAAATCCCATTTATAGAAACACACAATTTTGGAAAAATTTAAGTATGAAAGAAAATTCTAAGTCTTAATTATACATGAATTTTTGCTAGAAAATAATGTTGTTATCTTTACAGGGGTCATTAATCATGCAAGAAGCAATTTTCAAGAGAAGATATTAAAGACATCTATTAGATTACAAGAGATTAAAAATGTCCTACTAGCTCACTTCTATATTCCTAGGGTCAAGCAATAAAGTAGAGCTTGTGCCTAAATAAAACCCAAAGACTGGATGAGTAAAGTTTTAGAATTGACTTTGTATGTCAAGTATCAGCCCACTTTATACTGAAACTTAACCAACATAAACAAAATCAGTGCTACTTATAAAAATCAACAATACAATGGTACTAGTGTTTCTCCTGCCACACTGGTAGGAGAACAATAAAGTAGAAAGGTAACTTAGAATTCTCCTTCTGGAATATTTTAATACCTGTCCATCACTTATTCCTATAAAATCAAATCTATATTCGTAAAACTGAAATTCTGCTTCTCTTTGATGAAACTATTTCACTGGATAAAAGGCCATTTTCTCTAATTTAAGCCATTTTCTTTGCCAAGTTTCTCATCAAATAAGAGAAAGAGCTGTTCCAGTCGAGATTTACTTATAACCAACAATTATAAGACCTAACCTGTCAAATTAACAATTCAAAGCTTCCAATTAAATTCTTAAAAATGTATAGCCATATCCAAAATTTCTCACCAACAAAGACTTGTCCTGACTTTGATATCTGTGTTTACATATGAACATGCCCAATCTCAATGTTTTAAGTCTCCAAGTATGGACAACTATACCCAACATGCTATCAACATGTTATCAATCAAGAGCTCACATGACTGGTATAAATGCAACATTTCTACATGAGGGCTCCCTCTAAGAGCAAACCTCTAATGGACACTAAGTTACTCTTCTAGCACCAGAAAAGCTATAGAAAACAAAAGAATTAATAAGAAAGGGAAGAGATGGAGGGAAGATGTCAGATAAAACTTTAAACAAGTAGTTCATGGGCTGGAGATGAGGCTCAAGTGGTAGTGCACTCGCCTAGCATGCATGAGGCACTGGGTTTGATTCTCAGGACCACATAAAAATAAAATAAAGATATTAAAAAAAAAGTAGTTCAAAAAGAAAAAAATACTAGCCCCAAGGAAAGGAATAATTAAAATGGTGGGACAAACTGTCTCACATGTCTCAGAAGGCCATTCCTGTAAACATTCATATAGTTTAGGCAATGAGAGAAATAACAGAATAAACCCAAAGTTTTTCTCAAAGATCAATATGAAATGTAACAATTCAGTAGATCTTCACAGGAGGATCTTGGCAATGTTCTTGTTTTTTTTTTTTTTTTTTTTTTGCAGTTCAGGCAATTAATAGTGTATATCAGTGATTTTTAAAGTGTGATCACCAGTACCACTTGGAAACCTGTTAGAAGTTCCAAATTGCAAGCTTCATTCCAGACCTACTGAATCAGAAACCCAAGGGGATTGGGTACAGAGATCTTTTTCTTCAAGATATCCAATGATTCTGATATATGCTAAAGCCTAAGAATAACCAGTCTATAAAAAGAGAAATATTTCTTAGTGACAGTTTCCATTCAGTGCTTTAAGACCAAATACATTTATGGCCAAGAGAGAAAGATTTTAGAAAACCCAACATTAGATTTTGGATATAAGTATTAGACTCAGCTCTGTATGCCTTAAGTAGGGCCATAACTCAAGCTATCGTTACAGTGGTGTTTTTACACTGTGAAGCAACAAATTGGAGAAAAAATAGACAACATAAAATTTACTAAAAACAAGTGTAGATTACCATGTCTTAATAACAGATATTCTATATAACATCTGTCAACATGGCAACTCAAGAAAGAAAACTTTTTAAAAAGACAATTTCAATTTTTAATGCATACATCTGCTAAAGAAATATACAGCAAGGAAAAAGAGCATAAATAAGTAGGCTTGCTCAACTTCAGTAAACAGAAAAACTAAAGAAAAGCAACCTGTTTCAAAGGTATAACGCACAATGAGGTATAAGTTTTGGGACATCAAGGTGGCAGAAGCAGAAGTATAAGAAAATGCCAGCTGGAGTATAAAGCAGGGAGATGAGTCCCTGTTTAGGGTAAGTTCCATTACCAAGACAACTTCCAACACAACTCCTGCCACAGGTTCGGTATTCTAATTAGGCAAAAATAAAGTAACCATGGAAACAAATGGGACTTTGATCAGGTCCCTGCAGAGAGGGGATTGAGGCACAGGCCAGCCTGTAAGACAAGACTTACCCAGACATCAGAGTCTTGAGCCACACTCTGGACCCACGCTGCCCTACTTTATGTAGTGTTACTTACACTTATCACTAAATCTATGCTGTTTCTTCCGGATATTCAAGATGCCAAAAGCCTGGACCCCAACTAGACATTCCACTGGTATCAACAAGTACAAGATCAGAAGAGAGAACAGCAACACAATTTAAGGAGATGAACCAGGGATGAGGATGCAGCTCCATGGGAGAGCACTTGTCTAACATGTGAGAGGTCCTGAATTCTATTTCCAGCACATTCCCTCACCTGCCCCCCCAAAAAGGAGAAGGAGGGGAAGTAGATGAACTACAAGAAACTCAATAAATGCAAGAAAGGTAAATGCTGGGGATATAGCTCAGTTGGTAGAGTGCTTGCTTTGCATACACAAGGCCCTGGGTTCAATCCCCAGCACCCCCCCMCACACACAAATGCAAGTAAGGTGACTCTTAAGAGGGTAAATGTAAAGCTGACAATCACCCCTATTTACACTGAAGAATCTGCAAAACAGTAACTGGCACTTCTGGAAGTAAGGATTGGAGTGGAGGGACCAAAATAAAGAGAACTGAGTGAAAGCTGTGCTTTGACTTGGTCTCTAGGTATTTCTCACACTAACCTGGCAGAAAACTAGAGGTTTAACCAACTGGAGATATGATGGACAAGCACAAATCATAGTATAGGCACAATATTGAAAATGGGATCAGATCACACACTCGCCCCCAAAATTTATTCCAGCTCCCTTGTAACAATGAGCTCCCAAAATGCAGACAGGCAGACCTTTTTCCTCCCGGTAAAGAACAATAGTATTCTATAGAAAATCTGTCTAGTCACCAATACAATGTTCATCCTGAGAATTCTACAGTGAAGTTTAAAGTGGACAATATCCACATGCTCACAGCTTCTAATTGCATTTTTAGGACTACTGGTTCTAACTAATCATGGACAACTAACTAAGTATTATTATCATTGAAGAAGCTAGAAAGCAACAAAAAATGCAAAAAACAGAAAACCAATATGTAGGGAAAACAATTTGAAAAAGAACATTTAAAGGGAAATATCATTAATATTCTCAAAGACTTAGAAGAATATATTGCATCCATAAAACAAGAACAATTATTATTTTAAAATAAATATTAAGAGAATAACAAAGAGCTTGAAATTAAAAACACTATGGCAGAAATAAAAAACTTGGCACAATAGTGATAAGACAGAGGTGAGGAATTCTTCACAAAACAAAGCGAAAAGAAAAATAATAAAACATGGAGTAATATAACTAGAGGACCAATCAATGAGGTTCAATATACAATAATGGGAGTTCTACAAAAGAGCAAAAATGAATGGGAGGAAATGAAGGAATGAATAAAAAAAAAATTCCCATAATGAAGAACAAACTCTTCTAAATTGAAAAGAGCCCTGGAATACCCAACACACAAAATAAAAAGAGCCATATTAAAGACATCATCATAAAACCTTAGGACAATGGGAAATATCCTATAAACTTCTAGAAAGAAAACAAAGAAGTCACATACATAAAAATTGATCAGGAATCAGAATACATTCAGAGTTTTCAATAGCTGCTCTAAAAGCAAAAACGCCATACACAAATGTTTTGGAAATGCCAAAAGAAAATAATCTCCAATTTGAAATTCAATACTCAAGACACACTATTATTAAAATGTCACGGTAAAATCGCAGTAACTGCAAACAAGAGCCCCCTCCAATCCAAATTTAATTTAAATATAGCTTCTCAGGAAAACTGAGGATGTTCACTATAAAAAAAGATGGGAGTACCAAAGGACAATAACTTAGAAAAATAAAGATCCAACACAAGAAAGGGAAGGGAAT